TTCTGAACTGTGGTGTTGGAAAAGACAACTTGAGAGTCCCTTGGACTGCAAGGAGATCCAACCAGTCCATCCTAAAGGAGATCAGTCCTGGGTGTTCATTGGAAGGACTGATGCTGAAGCTGAAACTCCAATACTTTGGCCAGCTGATGAAAAGAGCTGACCATTTGAAAAGACCCTGATGCTGAGAAAGATTGAAGGAGGGAGGAGAAGGGGAAGACAGAGGATGAGATGGTTGGATGGCATTGCCGACTCGATGGATGTGAGTTTGAGCAAGCTCCCAGAGTTGGTGAAGGACAGGGAGGCCTGGCGTGCTGCAGTCCATGGGGTTGTAAAGAGTCTGATACAACTGAGCAATGGGACAACTATATCTGACTTTTGCTTCCCCGGTGGCTCAGAGGTAAAGAATCTGCCTGCCAATGCAGGAGACATGGGTTCAGTCCCTGGGTTGGGAGGATCTGGAGGAGAAAGTTATCCAGTATTCTTGTCTGGAGAATCCCATGAACAGAGGAGCCTGGCGGGCTACAGTCCAGGGGATCACAAAAAGTCAGACACAACTGAGCAACTTGCCATACGTGCACACACACATCTGACTTTTAATCTGGATTATTTTCTCAAGTATTCTTGAAACAAGGAAGCACAAATATAGTAGGGTTTTTAATCCGTGCCCCCTTGGAATTTTCACTGCCAAGCGTTTGTTTGTTGTATGTTTCTGCCCCTGCTGTTTTATTTTGTAGTGGGAATTTAGACAGTAATGACTGAAAGAAGCATGATTTCTTTAAGTGGATAGTCCCATTTGGCAACCATAGTAGTAATACCGTAGAGCAAAAACCTTTTTCTGGAAGAGTGTTTTTATACACGGAGTACCTGAAGGTGTCAGCATCCCTCCTTCTCCACCAGGTGGAGTTTACACGTTTTGGGTGTATAGTCTAGTAAGACTTTGCCCTAATGCATCCAATTGTGTATGTATAATGACTCACTCAGAAGTCTTGCTGTTCATTTATTAAATCAGGGAACTTTATTTCTCTTGGGGTTCATTTCTGCTCTGACTCAGCAGCACCATGAGGTAGATTTCCCTGCAGACAGACCGTCTAAAAGCCCAGGACTTGATTTGTTCCTGCCTTCATGTTTCCGCGTGTATCTAAAGCCTCGCCCTTATCTATTCCATAAGGATGTTGTAAGGAAGGGTGGTGTATGTTATGAAGTGTTTCGTTTCAGGATCAATTTTATTTTCCAAGGAAAAATATAAATGATCAGCCACATGTTAGTAGTAGAAGTAACGGCTGACTTAAAATAGGAGGGAGAATAGCATTTTTAGCTCTCCCAGTTTTAATCTAATTGAAATGTGCATCTGCTGGTGGGAAGCTCAGGTCCAGAAGCCGCTCAGGGCAGAGTGGTCTCAACTGCTGGCCTCTCTTCCCCCTGCTTCCTCGCCTCGGGCAGGAGTGTCCCAGCTCCCCCATCGCGCCGGGAAACACGCCCTTCCTCAGGAGCAGGCTCGTGGCAGCCGTTCCTTCTGAGGCTCCAGCCGCCACCGCCATCACCAGATTCCTGCCTTGTTTTCCGGAAAACAAGTGATGGAATTGCCTTGTGTGATGTAGGATCTTTCCACATATTAGCTTGCTGTCTGTTTCCCTTTAACCGTGAGCAGTCTTACTAAGCACTTTTGTGGTATCCTGATACCATTTCTTCGTCCTTTTAATCTGACTCTGGTATTAAGCCCAGTGCACTTCTAGAAACTACACTAGGATTTCCGTCTGCTGCATGCCTACATAAACATTCAGGAAAATGCCAGGGTTTGGCCAGCAGTTAGCAGTTTCTTACCTGTGTCCCTAAAGCTAGTGATCCCAGGGGCTTTTCCGATGCCTTCCATTTGGTCCTCGAAGATGCATTTATCCAGGGACGTTACTGATCAAATGGATGAAAAGTACAAGTTTGAAATTACTGAGTAAACTATCAGTGGAATCTCCTTTGTCACCTAGGTGTTCCTAAACAAGTGGAAATTTCTCAATTATGCAGCTAGATTACAGATGCCACCAGATAGCACAGTGATTGAAGACAAGTAGCCAGGTTCAGGAGCAACTGGTGCCTAACACATCATCTTGATCAGTACGAAGATTTGTGATGTTAACTCTTCTCCACTGCTGCTGCTAAGTCGCTTCAGTCATGTCTGACTCTGTGCAACCCCATAGACGGCAGCCCACCAGGCTCCCCCGTCCCTGGGATTCTCCAGGCAAGAACACTGGAGTGGGTTGCCATTTGCTCCTCCAGTGCATGAAAGTGAAGAATGAAAGTGAAGTCGCTCAGTCGTGTCTGACTCTTAGCAACCCCATGGACTGCAGCCTACCAGGCTCCTCCGTCCATGGGATTTTCCAGGCAAGAGGACTGTAGTGGGGTGCCATTGCCTTCTCCGTAACTCTTCTCTAGATGCTGAATAAAATTCTTAACTAGTTTTGATAGCTGCCTACATATTTCACATGGACAGCAGGGAAGTGCTGTCAGAAGTGGAGTCCTAGAGCACTGTAGGAAGGACTGTTAGATTCAGCACACTTGATGAAAGTCACGTAAGCCTTAACAGCCAGTGCTAACAGGAGATGTGAGAACTTGCTCCAGGTATTTAAGCCTTGATTAATCTTAGACATCTGGGAAATGGGCACAAACTTTTTAAAGGGAAAAACCCACAAGGATGTTATTTGGGAGAACCTAATTCTAAATGCCAGAGTTTGCTGAATAGCAACCAGAAACCTAAGGATTGTGCTTTTAGGTTTATTGGAAAAATTGGGTGAGGGGCAGGGGGCGCTTGGTCATTTAATTGATCTTTTCTGTAGCACACATAATCATCAAGAAATATCATCTCTGAGCTATCACTTATTCAGCAAAATTAAAGGCTCTCTAAAGGCCATTGTTGCCGCAGAGTGTCCCACCATAATATTTATTTGAAAAATCATAACCGTTTGGTAATGTCTTGGTCAGCTTCTGGTTTTCTGGGAAGAGTCCAAGCCTTTGTATTCCATGTTCATATTTAATTATTCCTTTATATTTGCCTTGTTTATTTTCATCAGATTTACTCTAGATTTATTTCTGCTTATCTACAGTATTTCTTCTCCTGGTATCATCCATCTCCAACCTTTTTCTTTTTTTTGGCATGTCTGAAACCTGTGTTCTCCTCTACCAGCTCTTAACCCCGAATGTCATACACCGGGTCATACACCGGCGTAACGCGCATGTGTCCTGGCTGAAGGAGCACTTACTAAAGGTCCCTGTGGCGGTGTGTCCTGGCTGAAGGGGCACTTACTAACGGTCCCTGTGGCGGTGTGGTGATGAAGGACCAAACATTCCTGAGCTGTTGACTCTACTCCCCTTAGCAACATGGGCTGTGTGGCTGCCCGTTTTATCCTTCAGCAGATGAGTTCTTGTTCTCACTTTTCAAATGGAGTGAGCTTAGAGATGTCGGGAAGCATTTATTCTGAATTAAGCAGAGGGGACTATAATCTTATCTAAGGGAGCCATTAAAACTTGGATATCTGCCATCTTAAGTCTCCATTTAGTTTAAAATTGGCACCTCAAGCTGTAATTATAGTAGGTGCTTATGAAAAGTCTCACTTCCCCCCCCCACCAGCTGCACGCCTCCCTGTAATCTTGCCATGCAAAATTATGTAGTCTCGGGAATTTTGTTCCTGTGTTCTTGGGATCTTAGTAAATACTTCTTTTGTATTCACCTTTTGTGTCAAAAAATCGCGCCGCTGGCTATTTGCTTTTTATGCCGTGATCCAAAGAATGTTTTCGTCAACAGACTGCTGGGCTTCAATGCTAGGAATGTTAATATGTGCCCTTCACTGCCAGACTGGGAGAACCATTCAGAGTGGCACAGTGCAACTGGAAACACTATTCTTGTTGGTGATGAAGTTCTTAGGATGGTGTGCCTAAGAAGATGCGATTAGATCACAGGACTTAAAACCTGTATCACATTTACCCTTAAAATTAATTTAGTGAAGAACTAAATGAAGTTCTTTCAAAACGAAATTGACCTATAGGATGTGTTTTTGTCACTGGGATGTTTGCAGAAGATATTTTTACTCTTTTTAAGAAAAATTTCCACACACAATATGGAACTGTGATAGGACTTGGAGTCTATGGTTAAAATAAGGAAGTGTTCATGTCAGTAATGAGCAACACAGATAGGACTGCCTTTTGGTTTACTTCTTAAAGTTAACAAACATTGAACTCTGGCCCATTATATAGTTAAGATGAAAACATAACAAAAACCCATTATTGTTTAACAAAAACCCATTATTGCAGTAGTCGCATGCTTTAGAAAACTTTTCCCCCAAATGGCCCTTGTTTGAATTTCAGAGAAAATATGAGGGGATAAAAAGAGAGAGAGAGAGGGAGAAATTTCAACAACAGAACGTTGGTGGAGGAAGGCCGCGGACCTCCCAGGGGAGCCAGTCCGAGGGAGGCCCCCTGCCTCAGCCAGCAGGGGTCGCTGTTGGGCAGCGATGAGAGGGCAAGCCTGCAGCGCCTCTAGCTGAATGAAATGGGATTTGGAAATACATCCATCTTCAGGGAAGTGGTTTGATGAGTTAATTTTGAAAAACACTATGGCTGCACTGCTTACCTTCTTTTTCCCTCGTAAATTTAAATTTACAGAAAACAGTTCACGTTACATTTATGTAGAATCGTACTGAGTACTGGAAATTTTTCTTCATGAGTTGAGAGTGTGGCCAGGAGGAGGGAAATTAAATAGAACTTTTGGAAGCCATTTATCTATGAATTTATTAAGTATGGATTCCTTACTTCTCTTCTTGGGTCCCTGGGAGTTGCGGACGGGTGACCTACAGCTTTCACCCCACTGGAATAATACAGTCTACGTTCCCTGTAACTCAGATGATAAAGAGTCTGCCTGCAAACTCTTTATACCGGAGACCCGAGTTTGAACCCTGGGGTCAGGAAGATCCCCTGGGGAAGGGAATGGCTACCCACTCCAGTTTTCTTGCCTGCAGATTTCCATGGACAGAGGAGCCTGGCAGGCCACAGTCCGTGGGGTCGCCAAGAGTCAGCCCTGACTGAGGAGCAAACACTACCACTACACTGTATATGCCACGTAAGGAAGAGTCGTCAGAGTGTGTCTTATTGGAGTAATGATGTGGCCCTTAAATCAAAACGAAGAGAACCCTGGTTCTCAATTCTGGCTTCCCGCTGTATTTCAGTCACTTAACTTCCTTGTGTAAGATGAGTTAGGTGTCTGGTCTGCCACAGCTGGCTGTCAGGTTTAAACACGACAGTCCAGTAAAATATTGGCAAGCTGCTTCTGTAAAAGACCCGATAATAAATATTCTAGGCTTTGTGGGCCACACAGTCTCTGGCATGACGACTAAGCTCAGTGAGCATGGCCCGAAAGTTGCCAGAGACAGTATGTCAACAATGGGCCTGGCTGTGCCCCCGTAAAACTTTATGTGAAAGAACAGGGGGAGCCACGTGGGGCTTGGCAGCCCCTGGTATGTACTAAGTCGTCATCACTGAGCTGAGCAACAAGCCTGTAGCAAAATGAACAGTGTCTCAAAGTCAGACATGGGAGCTTCCGGGGTAGGTAGCACGTCTGTGTCCTTGACCCTGTGACTTGTGGTTGTGGGCAGGTCACTTTTCCTTTCCGGGTCTTCTGTCCGCACAGCTTTGGAGTTGATAGTAATAGTCTTTTCTGGGGGTTAAGGAGACAACGAAGTAATATGAAAGAGCTTTTTTTTTTTTTTTCAGTACAGAGGCAGAGGGCAGAGAGCAGAGGTCTGGGCTTTGTTTTGGCTCTGGCTATTTAAAAGGATGCCTTTGTCTCAGGCTTCTTTAAGGCATCCGTTGTATCTTCTTTCTGCCCCTCTGGAATATCCACCCTGTTTAACAAGTATGGAATGACCTGAAACTCATTTTCAAGTTTCCAAACTTTGACAGTGGTCTTCCCCCTTCAGTAGCGTCATGACCCAGTGCACACAGGGAGATAAACACTGTTCAGTCCTTATCTTGGGACAGAAAACCAGAGGAAGGAATCCCAGCTCTTCTGAAGTTCTGTGTGAGCTGCAGGCACATGGCTGTGTCCAGGGAGAAGGCCAGGTCTACAGACACCAGCATCTTCCCACCCCTAATACTGCGAACCTTGATCCTGAAGTGTGTCTTGAGGCAAAGACAGATTAAAATGGAGCTAAGTAGTTTTACCTCCTTCCCCATTAAAAAGCATATGGTTTTCTTTTTTTTTTTTTTAAAGCATATGGTTTTCTTTATATAAACTCTTTCATGTAAATTGCATTCACTGAAATTTATTATCTATGTGTACAATTAAAAATTTTAAAGATTTATAGTATAACTAATTCTTAAGCTTCCATACTCACTGTAAAATATAGTGTATTTGTTGTGATATTTCAAAGGTTTCTCCTTCGGGCTTATATTTTACACGTTCTGCTCTTCATAATAAAATAATTACTTGAAGCTTTTAATGTCTATACCTGTAAACATTCAACTCCCTCATGTATATTTAGAAGCGAGGTTATTGACTATAATTCATTGATGACCTTCTTTCAGATCATTCTGTGATTGGGTTTTTATAATATGACATTGGAACGTGGGGTGTTTAGCACAGACTCAGGAGCCAGACCAACCTGGGTTTGAATCTTGGCTCTGACACTTCTGAGCTGTGGACTCCACCTTGTAAAATAATTCATTGCTTTTTAAATTTTTTTAAATCATTGTCTGAGGAAAAAAAAAAAAGCAGGTCCTTAATTAGTTTTTGTTTATCTGCAATCAGATAGCAGTGCTCTGTGTGTAGAATCAGCCCGGCTTCTCCCGGAGTCTCATCGGCTATAACCAGAGCCGAGCTGCTCGGGCGTCGTGCGCACAGCTGAACGAGAACTGCAAGTGGGTACAAGGTTCAAGAGTAGTGTGTGTGTGGGGGGCGGGGGGGGGGACAGGGGCGTTAGGGTGTATTTTGGAGAAATTTCCTGAGCTTTTAAATTAAACAAGAGACATGTTGGAATTTATCTCAGTTAACAGTTTCCTATGAAACAATAGGAGGAGAGAAAAAAATTACTTGTCAGAAGGAGACATCTGAATGAGCATAATAAGGACAACAGGGAGATGGGGGTTGTGTAGGCTTTCCTGAATGAGACAGAATCTTGGTGTCCATAGAGTAAAATGAAGATTCTGGAGCATTGGCAAATATGTTGATGTCTTTTTTTTTTTTTTAAGATTATTTTGGTCTCATAGAAAAGTTGACAAGCTAGTAAAGCATATACTCTTTACCCGGCCTCCCCTGTCTGAGCATCTTACATGGCCACACGACACTCGTCAACACTGAGAACCCAGCCCCAGCTCAGGACCGCTGGCTGGGGAGCAGGACTTGCTGGCCTCCCTTCTGGCAGCCTTCCCCGCCCCAGGCTGTCCTCAGGAGCCCGCATGGCACCCAGCTGTCGTGGCCCCCAGCCTTCCCTTTCTCTCATGACCTCGACACTGATGAAGAGCCCTTGTCAGTTATTTCGTAGAATGTTCTCAACTTGCAGTTTGCTGATACATGCTCGTGGCTGGATTGAGGTTATGCATTCTTGGGGAGGCGCCATAGGGTGACTGTGACTTTCTTGGGGCATCATATCAGATGCCTTATGTCACTATGTTTCATGGGTCACATGAGCCTCCATTCCTTGGCCAAGGTGATGTCTACCAGGACTCGCTACTGTAAACTTTACTCTTGTTCCCTTTATATGTATTAAATATGTGTGGAGATACTCTAAAACTGTGTAGGTATTCTGTTTATGCATTGATGGACCTTGCCTGTGGTATTACTGTGGTTTTCTAATTTATTAATCAGAGTTTTTCTGCATGGAAGAGTTACCATTTCTCCGTTTGTTCATCATTACTGACTTCCATATGGACTTAAGGCTGTCTACCTAATTCTTTGGGTGACAAGCCCAGTGCTGTTATTTATTGTGTAGCTGAAGTTCTTAGTGGCCATTGAGAGCTCTTTGATGTCTGTTCCTGTGCCCTTTCAATATGCTGCTTCTTTTTTTTAATTTTTCCTTAAGCAATTCTTTACTCTTTGACACCTCAAGATGGTCCAGCCCTGGAGTTGACCATTACTCCAGGGACCCCTGGTTCTTTTTATTGGAGAATGGTATTTAGGAACCAAGATCTAGCCACTAGGTGATGCATTACCGGCTGCTAACCTGTCACTGCTTCGAATCCCTCTTTTTGGATGGAGCTGGGAAATATCTGTATGTATACTAAATCCTTCGCACACATCTGTATTTATTTCTGTGTACACACGTAAACACACACACACACACATGAAAACATGAATCCACACTGATAATTCTAGTTCCCGTCCAGCCCCACAGAGTTTATTCTATTTAGCCTGTTCCAATTCCTTTTTTTCTTTCTCCTACAGTGAGAAACCTGGTTCTCATCTACAGTATGTTCACCTATCTGTTCCACTCTAGTATACCGATAAACTAGTTCCAGAAATGCTGACCCACCTGTGAAAACAGATTTATAATCACAGCGCAGCGTCTGTGTGCAACTCTGTTTGTCTTTAGCCATATTAGCTCCCTCGTAGCTCAGCTGGATAAGAATCCACCTGCAATGCAGGAGATCTCACTTTGGTTCCTGAATCAGGAAGATTCATCAGAGGAGGGATAGGCTGCCCACTCCAGCATTCTTGGGCTTCCCTGGTAGCTCAGATGGTAAAGAATCTGCCTGCAATGTGGGAGACCTGGGTTCGATCCCAGGGTTGGGAAGATCCCCTGAAGAAGAGAATGGCAACCCACTCCAGTATTCTGGCCTGAAGAATTCCATGGACAGAGGAGCCTGGCAGGCTACAGTCCATGGGGTCGCAAAGAGTTGGACATGACTGAGTGACTTTCGCTTTCACTTTTCCATATTATCTGGTCAGAACCCCTTCTGCCAAGGTTGCCTGGGTCACGGTTGTGGGGTTTATTTGTGCCCAGGTCAACAGTCTCAGCTTGCATTTCATCTTGAATTTTTCCCACAACCTTGTTAATTATGCTTTTATTTACATACCGTAAAATTCACTATATGGTATATAGTTCTGTGGTTATTGACAAATGTGTAGAATTGTATATGTTGTTCAGGTGCTAAGCATGTCCGACTTTTCGACCCATGGACTGCAGCACACCAGACTTGCCTGTCCTTCACTGTCTCCCAGAGCTTGCTCAAACCCACGTCCATTGAATCGGTGATGCCATCCAATCATCTCATGCGTGGTGGCCCCCTTCTCCTCCTACCTTCCATCTTTCCCAGCATCAGGGTCTTTTCCAAGTGAGTCAACTCTTTGCATCATGTGGCCAGAGTATTGGAGCTTCACCTTCAGCATCAGTCCTTCCAATGAGTGTTCAGGGTTGATTTCCTCTAGGATTGTATATCCAATCCCACCATTATGGAATGGTGTACAATGGTGTACAATGTACAATAGTCCTATCCCCCTAAAAGTCCCCTGTGCCACTTACGTATAGATAACTGCTCCTCCCCACCCCACCCAGAACCCTAGCAACTACTGATCTCTTTTCCTCCCTACATTTCTCTGTTTTCCAGAGCCTCATATGAAAGGAATCAGAATAAGTAGCTTTTGGGGTCTGGCTTCTTTCACTTAGTATAATACACATGAGATTTATCCATGTTTCTGTGGGAATCAATTCCTTTCTATTGCTGAGTAGTATTCTATTGTCTTAATGTGCCATAGCTTTTTATCCAGTGACTACTTGAATGATACCTGAGTTTCTTCCAGTATTTGGCAGTCTATATAAATAAAGTTGCTATAAACATTCATATACAGGTTTTTATGTGAATGAAGTTTCCATTTCTGCAGGATTTGATACTAGAAGTAGAATTGCTGGGTCATTAGCTTGGTGTATATTTAGCTTTGGCAGAAACTATCAAATGTTTTTTCAAAGTGTCTAGATCATTTATTCTAATAGGTGTATAGTGGTATTTCATTGTGGTTTTAATTTGCATTTCCCTAATGATTGATGACGTTGAGCATTCTTCTATGTGCTGTTTGCTTTCCAGTTGTCTTTGATGAAGTGTCTTCAAAGATTTTGCCCATTTTTTAAAGTGGGTTGTTTGCTTTCTTATTGTTGAATTTGGGTAGTTTTTCATATGTTCTGCATATAATCCCTTTGTCAGAAATGTGATTTTCAGATGTTTTCTTCCAGTTTGTGGCTTATCTTATTCTCTTTTACAGTGTCTATCTCAGAGCAATTTTCTTAATGTTAATGAAACCTAGTTTATCATTTTTTAAAATTAATTGTGCTCTTAGTGTAATTTGTGAGTTTTTGTTTTTTAAGAAAGTTTGTATTTTGCTTTCATCTTTGAAAATTACTTTCAATGGGCATAGAATTCTGTTTTGTTTACCTGTGATTATTACTGTGTGTTTCATTGGTAGCATTTCTTTTCTTTTTTTTTTTCTTGTTTCTTTTTCCCGGTTGAATTTCCCCTTTGTTTTTTTTTTTTGTTCCCCTTTTTCTTCGGGGTTTTTACCTTCTATATTGATCAATTATTTTAAATTCTCTGAAAGCTCTAACATCTGTATCATATCTGACTGGTTCTGATTGCTTTTCCTGTTCTGAGTAGTTTTTCCTTGCCTTTTTGTATGCCTTGTAATTTTTGTGGAGAGCTAGATATCTTACATGAGACAGTTAGAGACCAATGTAAATAGCGTTTATGCCTGGCAAGTCCTTTCATGTGAGAGTTAAAGCCTTGCTGTTTCCGGTCAGGAGCTGGACTGGGTTGGAGAGCTCTGTTGCTGTTAACACTACCATCAGAGCACAAAAGGCTTCAGATTCCTTAAGAGGCATCTCTTGTTTGGGGTGCGGGTTGGATTGTAAGAGAAAGGCTTGTTCCATCCCCGATTTAGCTCTTCCCTTTGCGCTGTGCATCAGAGCGGGCGCTGAACACATTCTGTTCTCCTGCTGCTCTTCCTGCACTGTTTTGCTGTTAGCTCTCACTTGAGGCTCATTAGCCTGGCATTAGGGGGTGAGGAGGATGGGGTGGCACTCTGTTCTAGCCCTGCCCAGCCTTCTGCGGGCGCCCTGTCCTAGGTCCCTGGGCTCCGGCCCTCTTGTCCTCCTACCCCAGCTCAGCTGTTGTGGAGGACTCAGCTGGCAGCCCTGTCCCTCGGAAAGGAGTAGAGTTGTGTTTCTCCTCTCACTCGCTCCGTTTCCTCACCGCAGTAAATTCTCACCAGTGTCCCAGCGGCAGCGATGCTGCAGCGCCCCTCTCCATAGGACGGCGTGTTTGTTCCCTACGGAGAGAAGGCGTTCCCTGCCCCTCCTAAATCCTGCTGCTCTCTCCTGGATCCTGACCACCACGGATGCTTAGGCCGCTTTTCTGTGATCACCACCTACAACCTGAAAGCAGATGTAGCCTCAGAGGGCCCAGCAGCCCCTCCCGCCCGCACTCGGCCCGAGCAGTCTGCCCACCGTTCGGCTGACCTCTGAGCCGTGTCCCGCTGCGCCGGCCCCGGACAACTCGAGCTCGTCTCCCCTCTTACACGGACACTCCCGGGCGCTTGGCTGTCTGATGGGACTTCAGCCTCACAGTGGATTTGTGGAGAGTTGTAAATTTAAAGTTAGGCCTGTTCTTTTTGTTTGTTTGTTTGTAAGAGAGAAAAAGAAAACAGTAATAGCTTCTGAGCAAGTCTCACCGTCGTCGGTCTTTGCGGCAGGACTGGCCTCTGATGACGGCAGCTGCCCTCTCCAGTCACCTGTTCCCTCCCGGCAGTCGTTCCGTTTCTTCTGCTTTGTTTTCTACTTTCTCTTATGAAAGAATGTTTTTTTCTCTTATTACAATCTCTAAAAATATATCTGATTTGGCATTCAGGTGGCAAATTCAAAATATATGAGGGATGACGGTCTAATTTTAGCATTTCAAACATCAGACAAGGTATCATAGAGTGAGGAGACAGAGCACCTACCCAGACTGCGCCTGTCCCACGTCCGGCGCGGGCACCTGGTGGAATTCCATAGATTGGTGTGTGTATTATTTTATAACAAAATAGTAGAACCCATAAAGCAAAAGGTGTGAGATCGCATATTAGGAGCCTACATGTATGTTTTGTGTTTGAATGTTTTAAGCTCAAAAGTGACATGTGCTTGAGATTTTTTTAAAAGTTCTAATATGTTCTATCTCCTAGAAATAATCATACATAAATGTGTTGGTGTTGATACTTCAAGATTTTTCTCTAAGAACATATCTTTGTAATACAGAAAGAGTAATAAAGTAAAGTAATATGCAGACCATTTGGGAAACCCAGGAAAGATACCTGTTAGTTATTTCTCTGTTCACATTTTTTCTCTTGCAAAAGTACACATAAATGCAGACTGCATTGCAGCAAAGCTGAATGTGGTATAGCTCAGCGACAGTGAGTGGGGTGGAGATTTTACACTGCTCTTCCATTTAACTGTTTAAACTCTTTCTAAGGGAAAGCGCCTCTGATTTTGCAAGTTTTGAATAGACAAGGTTTTAAATCCAGTCTCACATGCACTTACGAGAATTTTAAAACTATTTCCTGGACTATCTTGACTATTCCTTGTTAAACATAGTCTCACATGACATCATATGACTGATATTAATGACTTTTAACTAATATTCCATTTCCTATGAGAACTGGGTTGAGTCATCACAGAAAAAAAAAATATTACAAAATACTACTACTCAGAGAACAGCAGAAACATGCCTAAAATGCTATTCAAATGTCATGGAAAATTTTTCTGTTTGCAAATACAAACTGCCACCAGTATTTTGGTTTCCTTTTAACTTGTTCAACAAAAGGGAGGTAGAAACAAGTAGAGAAAAAGAGCTCAGAGAATGAGTTGCAGTGAACTCTCGTTCACTTTCTCTGTATAGTTTAGGCTTCTTTTGGAGGTGTAAAATTTGAGGCTTAGTGGTCTGCACTGTGTATCACCCTCTGCCCGTCTGCTCTGGCGAGGTTTGTCCACCTTCCGCATCCTCCAGGAAGCCCTCCTGGCCACTCCCCTCCTCTGCCGGCGCATCCCCCCATCCCCGCTGTCCTGACTGCCTTCCTCCCCGCGTCATCCTCCCCGACTAAACTGGGGGCTCGGTGTGGGCAGCGCCCTGGCTTTGAATATTCCTCGCAGTATTGCCAAGCTTATTAAAAAAAAAAAAAAGGTAGATGATGCTGTTCGTAAACTTGCATAAGCATCTATAACGTCC